CTTTTTTCATACTTCGAAAAAATATGCACTGGTGCTATCATTGCACAAGCTCACTGGATTTCTTGTTTTGATGCAAAAGGCTTTCACGGCTACCTTTTGATATGAAAACACCCAGGGATCTGCACTGTAAGGCGTGGGCTTTGGGCCATTCCGATATTCAAACTCTTGCGCTTTGAAAGTCCAATTGATGAGGGAAAGAGGAGAATTAAGCAGTGCATTTGTATTTTAACTGTGTATACATCGATCTCTACAGGACTTCCAGCATCAAATATTGACACTCCATGTGTGGATAAGAACAGTGAGTAATCATAACGGTCGGTTGTTAAAATGTGACATTTTCCAGTTAAAGCCATCTGTTATTTTGGAAAGAGAATTATGGAAACATACAAATCTTTGTGGASCATTGACAATGAAAAAAATGTGTACTAGTGTTTGCTTCTGTTTTGGGTAAAGGTACACCTCCCATTAGACCCTGTAGACGAAAAAGACAGCGGCTTGGAGTAGAAAGGGGCATATTGTAACAATAATTTTAGTGTAAATTTTGCTACGCATAAGTTGTGATGACAAAGCAAGCAACATTGCATGGGCTGCCGAGCAGAGCCAAACTCAACTTCAATGTATTACGTATAACATTATCAATATTTTATCACTTAGTATTGGAAAGATGAATTCGTAAATTGGAATCCTAAAGACTTTGGGGGATTAGATAGGATCAGTGTTGACGCTGACAAACTTTGGGTTCCCGATATCAAGCTCTACAACAGGTAAGCATCCAAGTAGATCGTCGATTTTAACCGGTAAACTATCTTTGATCATGCTATTGATATTATACATGTAACTCTGCTTTCTTAGTGCTTCCCACAAGCAAAGAGATGGGTTGACCTCTGAGCTAAAAAAGAGTCAGATAGTTATAGATCACAGGGGAGAAACAAGATGGAGCACCCCAGCAATCATCTCATCGTCCTGCAAAGTTGACGCACCACATTTTCCGTTCGATGATCAACAATGCATGCTTGAATTTGGATCTTGGGTTTTTGATGCCAGTAAAATGGACATGGATATCGTCAGCCCGTATGTTGACAAAGAGAGCTACTCTGAAAATGAGGAGTGGAGTTTTTATGAAAACAAAATTGAACGTCATGCGAGGAAATACAACTGCTGTCCTGCTCCTTATCCAGTGGTGGAGGTCACGGTATCCATGAAGAGAAGGCCTGCTTTTTTTATGTATAATTTGATCATCCCTTGTGGACTCATCACAGTTGTTTCACTCTTTTCGTTTATTTTGCCACCAAATTCAGGAGAAAGGGTGTCTTTCATAATGACTGTGCTGGTAGCTTTGTCGGTTTATATGATGATAGTGAATGACGAAATGCCGCATTCTGCAGAAACATCGTTGTCCTCACAGTTTTTCCTTTTTGTAATGGTAGAGCAAGTCCTTTCTGTTGTGGCATCATGTTTTGTCATAAGATTCCACAACAACGAAACACCATTGCCAAAGTGGTTCGATACTCTAGTAAATAAATGGATTGCAAGACTGGTTTGGATGTATGAAGAAAATAATTGCACAGTGGTTCCTTGGGAAAAGGGAAACGATTTGTTCATTAAAAGATCTGATYCATTTGTAATGGACAATAATGGCTACAAACATGAAGATCCTCAAAAKAAGATAAGCGAAATCGCCCAAGAAATRCCTGAARCCAAAAGCTCTCTGACAAGTACCGAAGCAAGGATGGAATTGAAAGAACTTGTCAAGGAGGTTKCTGTCCTTTCTGACAAGTTTCGGGWGATGAATACGAAGGAAAAAGTMCAGRATGAATGGTCWAGAGCTGCAGCTGTTTTAGATAGATTTTTCCTTTTCCTACTTCTCGCCATTACCATCATTTCTGTCCCATCTATATTT